AAACAGAATGCCAATACTTCGAGGAAAACATATAAGCAATTTTACTGTGAGTTTTGATATTGTCTGGTTTGGGTTTTTTTCTAAAGGGAGGTTCAGTGTGTTAATAGCACATTGGAGTGAAGTGTAAATAATGTGCATGCACTCTCATCGGGTGTTAAGCATGCTCTATTTGAAGGCTCCACTTACCTTTCTATAACAACTCCTACCAGAGGTCAGCAATCTAAATTCTTGCCCTAGTCAATATTCTCTATATTGAATATATGATATAACGCAGTACAGTTGTACTGTGCTCTTAGGAGCAAGTCTTTGGGAGTTATTAATGCCCAGGTTTTTAGAAATATCTTTTTTTTTCCTAAGAGATGGCAGTTTGATAATCTCATTTTGAATTCAAAGTCATTCAGTTTACACAACTTAAGCAGATTCTCTAATATCTTCAGCTTCATGGTCCTCTCTTCTGTTCAGCAGTGCCTTTGCCATCATTCAGCAGTTTAGGTGTTTTATTAAATGGGATTTTGGGTGGTAGATGCAGTATCTCAAGGCACCTGCTTCACCAGTTATTTGGTTCAGAATTGACCTGAGGCAAAAGTGTAAGCGCCCTATGGGTTCTCGTAAACAGTATTACTACTTTCTTTCACCACAACAGCCAGAATAGACTGTATTATTAAAAGACATGCTCAGACCACTACGCATTATTTTCAGCAACTATACTTAAAACATTTCCCAGGAGTAGAGAAATTGAAGGCTGGCATCTTGAGTTAATCTATGTAAATAGATAGTTTTGAGCCAGCAATCGAAGTGAGGTTGAGTCTATTGCGGAGGGAAATATGTGGACTCCTTTGTTTTTCTTTTTTTTTTTTTTTTTTTGATAATCAGTAGTATCTAATTTGTGGTCCTTGATAGTTTATTTTGATAAACATAGCTTTGGTTTCATTACGTGCTGAAATGTTTCAGAAATCCCAGTGTGGCTCCCAAACGTGTATTTTCCCACTGCAGAGGTGTGCACTGCTGCCTCCAGTTGCTGGGTGGGCGATGCCGCCCTTCTCTGCTGCTCAGGCCGAGAACTGGGTCACCAGCAGCTGCCGTGCCGAGTAGTCCAGTGTTGGGACCTCCCAGCAAAGACTGGCCCTTCTCTTCTAACCAGCAGTCAAAACACTACCAGAATTTAAAAAGAAGCTGAGAATCAATAACTGGCTGCCCATTCTTTTGTCTTGGATTTTAAAGCAATGAGGCCTGTTCTCTGTTTTGCCAGCAGGAGTGGTTTAGTCATTATCTGTTCGGAGCATTTCCACTCTTAAAATATTTTATGTTAAGTGATTCTGAGAGGGAGAGTAAAGGAAGGTGCTGTGCAAAATTCAGTGATGGCTTCTTGACACAGAGAATGTGAATGATTTCTCCTGTCTTTGCACCCTGCCTGCTTGAACAGTGCAAAGGAAAGGACTTGGGCCCTGCCTCCAGCTGTTGTTTCCTGTAACAGATTTAATTTTCAGGTTCAGGGGACAGAACACCTACAGCCTAAAGGATGTGAGGCTCAACCTGGGAGGGAGTTTATCCAAGTGGGGAAAATAATTTTTTGAAAGAATATTCAGCTCTAACAAGAGACTTGTAATAGGACGTCATCAAATAAAGCTGGAATATCCTGTATTTTAAGTCACTTGAGTTTAAAAAGTGTATTTTTGAGTTTGGAGTTCCTGGAGGTGCTTTTCTTAAAGAAAAAATCCTACCTCATTTCTCTTACTCAGCTATTAGACATTCTGCCCAGTTGTGCCAGTGTGGGCATTATCTCCATTTTAAATGCTTTTGAGCCTGCTCATCTCTGCACTGGGAGGATCTGTCTCAAACCTTTGCTGCATCCCAGCAGCAAAACTCATCAGCGCAGACCCATCAACAGGCCCAGAACAGCTTCACATTGCAGAACACATTCTTGCTCTGCATTCACAGTGACCTTCAAGGGTCACAGGGGTCACTGGGGGCACAGTTGCCTCCTTGGAAGAATTTATTTCACAGTGACCTTTGTGCCAGGTGACATGTCTGGGTAACTAGGTGAGAGAGTACTTTTTGCTCAAAAGTATCATTAACTGGGAATGTTAGGAGAGACTGAAGGAGTGTCATCTGTGGCCTTTGGGGGGATTTAAAGATGAATGTTTAAATGCACGGGCAGTGTGACTAGCTTCCAGTGTTGGTATCCACAGTGTTAACTCTCAACTTTCTTAGAAGCAGATTGAAGAAGACAGCTCTGTATCCTGAAACTCTTAGGTCCAGGGACAAAGATGCTGCTAAGACTGCTTAGGCTGAGGAGAACTTTAACTCAATTACTGCAAATTTGGAAGGCAAATTACTAATGATCATGAAGATCTAATTTCATTGAAGACTTGCTAGAGACTATATTTGGAACAAGGGCTCCAAAAACCTGTTTATGGAAGAACATAACATCCCTTTAACAGATGGGATGTAGGGCTTGTAGAGGGATAAAGACCTCCCCTGTAACAAAATACGTTATTGTTCAACAGATTAACAATTAACTGAAGTCTCTTTGGTAAACCCTAGTGAAGAATATTTCTGAATTATTTATATTTTAATTACATTGTTCTGTTTGAGAAGTGTGCATTCTTGGCATAATTTTAGCATACTTCAGGTGCTATTGAAACACAGAATAAAGGTTTTCTTTTGGGTTTGGGGTGGGGTTTGGTGGTTTTGTTGGGATTTGGTTTGGGGTTTTTTAATTCCATTTATTGTTTATCTTCCTTCTCTGAACTTTGGAAAATGTAATATCCTACTTCGAGGGGGTAGATGATGAATTTATTTCTAGGAAGCTGCAGAACAGGCACAAAGGATTATGGTTTAAAAATACATACTTTTTATTTGCAAACTTTTTTTTATCTCTGTTTTTAAAGGCTGTATAGTAGTTTGCGAATCTTGACGCTCTTTTTCTACATCTGAAATTTTTATATGTTAGAAAAACAGGGAAATCAAAGATCTTAATCTAATTTGGATATGTTTACTGCTTAAACAAATAGTTTGCCATACAGTTGCTATATTATTTTATTTTCAGTTTCAGTTTTTTCTCAGAACAAAACACTCAACACATGGTTTCCTTCATTGTGGATATGCACCTTTTACTAGTTGCTCATTGCTATTGATTATTCTAATTAAAAGAAAGTTGATTCTTTTTATATGCCTATATATGGAAACAGTGTCATGTATTTCCCAGTCCAACTATTAATAGCCTCTCTACATATGCATAATTATTTATTTTAATCTGCACAGAGAAATGCACTCACAAGTGAACTTAAAGTAAATTTGCATGGGTTTTTTTCCCTTTTGTTTCTCACTCAGTTTGTCATTTCAACATTGCTTACTTCTTGTCTTTCTTACTGATAGTCAAATTCTATGGCAAGATAGTGCTTCAGACTGCTTTTAATACTTAAGAATCCTTGAGCTGTCAACTTTTTGTACTAAAAGTAGCAGCTGCGGGTAGAAATGTTTTAATGAGAGATTCAGGAAACTTATAAAGTTATAGCTGAGGACTAGCAGATTGGATCTCGCTTATGGAAGGCAGTTATCGCTGCAACGTGCACAGATTGAAATACTTTGACCTGCATTATCTGTTGTCCTATATGGTCCAGGCACAACCTTCATGACCCAGAGTCTTTTGGTTTTGTCTTTTGAAAACAAAATTACTGTGGACTATCTCTAGTGATTACGTGTTCTGGACATTCTTCAGTTTATTAGCTGATGCTGTCCTCCTTGAACTGCTTCCCAAATGTTTTCTTCTACTGTTTACTCTGTTGTATTGTTACTTTTTACAACAACAAATAGTGATAACAACTAATTTTACAGCAAAAACATTCAAAATTTTAATTACCCCTTCAAATACCTTACTGTCCACCCAATTTTTCTGAAGTCTAAGTAATTTCATTATCATGCTTAAGAAAATTTACTGGAATTTTGGTCTCTTGGGTAGTTACGTGCAAATCAGACCACATGTTTATTAAATAAATCCTGAATTAGGACTGGATCAAATTCTAAGTTCAGGAGAACCCTTCTTCGATCTTCACTCACTTAGCTCTACCTGGGACTTCTGGGTAGGATCCAGTGTCTACTCAGTGTCCAGGGTCCCTGTATAAGACAGAGGAAATTCTGTCACGTGTAATTAATTGTATTTGACTTTTATTGATGTAGGTTCTATAACATGCCCTTTGTGCTCTTACTTCTCAGTGATATGTGATTGCATACTAGGCACAAGCACGAGCTCCTGTCTGCTGGGGATCTGACATTTCATCCCTTGCTCCCTTACTGCACCAACTCCTGTTCATCACTGCAACAATTTTTTCTTTTCATTTCAGCCTAGCTTGCCTGCACAAGAAAGCAAGATTTTTTTTTGGCTATTATTATGATTTTTTTTTAAGTGAAAGGCTTTACTTGAGGAACTTCAAAAATAAAAATAAAAAACCCCTAGTAAATGTGTTTGACAAATCTTCGTAAAGATGCCAGTATTTCTTTAAACAACTGAAAACAACGCCATGTTTTTTCTTTTTTTTTTTTACAATCTTTAAAAGGAATCTATTCTAATGAATGTATAAAAATTCATCATAGATAATAATTGTTAGAAGTTAGTCTTATTTCCTATATCCATCTGGTCTATTAAAACACAAATTAAATCTAGAAAATTACAAATGTGAATCATTAGCTCTGGGGCATATAACTGCCAGGCAAACAGCCATGACAAATCCAAAAGTATTTAAATCTCTTGGTGTTAAAAATAGGCATAGTAAAGATGTCACTAAATATAAAATCTGTTGTAAAATGTAACTCCAGTGAACATGTAGTATCTTGTGAGATTGTTGCTTTAGGTCAACGTTGGTGTAAAGCCACAGTTCGTAAATGTTCTTGCAAAGCAAGTGTTTAGCATACAGGGACCTGGCTCCGGTCACTTTAAGTGTGTGGCATGTGTTGACAGAAGCAGTGTTTCCTGATGGTTATGTTACTGTTTTTCTTCCTAGGGGGATGCCAAAGGTCTTGTAACCTCTGAGAACGTGAGCACTGGCCAGAAGTTGGACTTCTCAGATACAATGGTACAGCAGAAGCTGGATGAAATAAAGGACCAAATCAAGCGGGAAATAAGGAAGGAACTTAAAATCAAGGAGGGAGCAGAGAACCTCAGGAAGGTCACAACAGATAAAAAGAACTTGGCATATGTGGACAACATTTTGAAAAAATCAAATAAGAAGTTAGAAGACTTGCATCATAAGTTACAGGAGCTAAATGCACGCATTGTTGTAACGGATCTAGAAGATGTTCCAGGTACTATGTGTTACTGTGAAATCAGTTTTTCCTCATAGCTGAGATAAGCTGTACCCCATTTCACTGGAAAAAATTGCTCTGTGAATGAGCGAATCCATAGTTGGCAAGCTTGTTACTTATGTATGTCTCTTTGTTTTGATTCACAAGTGAGTGTACAGTACTTTTGAGTTTCTAGGGAACACTGTATTTCATGGACTGTGAGTTCTTCACTTTCAGTTCTTACTGTATTAAAGTATTTTCTCAGTCACTGTAATATTTCCTAATAGCTTGTCACTGTATAAAAGCAAATATTAGTAGCTCTCCCAGTGACATTCTCCATCTTACACTGTAGGCATCAGCATTAATGCATCTTTTTATTCTATGGGAGAAAAATCTACAACATTTATACTTGAAAGTTTTGTTGGGTGGTTTTTTTTTAAACTTAAGACTTAACTCAGAAAACGTTTTTATGTTATGCTGTTTTCTGACTAACTTATCAAACATTTCTTACAGTGACACTTCTTAGGATGCGTTAAGTCTCCAGGCTTTTCCACGGCAAAGCTACCATTTTAAAGACAATTGGAAATTGTTTTCACGGAATCACAGAATGGTTGTAGTTAATGGTTTTAATTAGTATTTTCTGTGGTGTGGCAGTGAGTCAATACTAATTTTGAATGTGTTTTTTAAGAATACCAGGCTTGGTATTTTAAGATGGAATGTTGTGAAAGTAAACAGTCCTTTTTCAGCTTTGTGGAATGACCTGCTGGATACTGCCAGCTTGATGATTTCACATTGCACAGACTCTTCTTGGCAAAAAGTTAATAAATGTGCACGAGCCACTGAGGGTTTATGCGAAGTGAATGCAAACCCTAAAGAAGCTGGGGCAGCAGAACAAAAATCTGCATCGTCCCTGTGATGGAAGGTTGGTTACCATGAGAATTTAGGAAAGTACTGGCAGGACTATCTGGCCCAGTGACGTACTGCCAAGGTGCTCAGGTGCCCATGTGTGGTCCAAGGTGGCCTGCACAGTATCCTCTGTATTCTCTGCTCTTTTTTGCTTTTGATCTGTGCGAGATACAAGAGGCGGAACAGGGACACAGCTGGAATTAGTGAGGCAAAGTGGTTGCTGCAGCGTGAAATGGGAATGAATACAATAATGTGTGCTTCTTAGATAGCCACTGGGCTTTTGGTAGGCATAAAGCATTCTGTTCCATATAGCTAAGGTTTATGAAAATCTGCCTAACTGTCGACAGTAGTGTGGCTTTTAAAGGAACAGGAAGAGTGGAACAGAAAGAAAATGGTATACAAACTGTGTATAGACCAAATATTAAAAATCTGTGCAGACATAAATTCGCAAAATTCGTCTAGTGCTAGAACTCAGAAAGTGGATGAGCATGAAATGCTCTTCTTGAAATTCTCTCTTCCAGTGTAGCATTTTTAAAACCCTTATCATAATGAGTTAATGAGCAATATTGTCATTGTGCATGTCTTCGGAAGTGCAGTAGAGGTTCAAAGGATAAAAGATCAAGGTTGATAAATTTAGGTGCTTCTACATGCTTTTGATGTGTGCTAAACTTCTTAGTACTATGTTTTTAAATTCCATTCCATTCTAAGTGTTACTGGTAGATAGGTTGTACATTCTTAACTATTGAAATATGCAAGAAAAAACGTATTAATTCTGTGGAGATCTTTATATTGTCTGTAAAGATCTTTCTATTGTCTGTCTTTTATACTGTTTGCCTCGTAACTTGATTGCTTGTCTTCTTCCTCATTCATAATCAGTAGTTCATGGAGGAAGAGCATTATCAAGTAAATGTTCTGTGTGTCCTGAGACCAATGGGTGCGAGTCATCTGGGTGGTAATCTGATTTTTAACAATGAAGTCTTAGGTTTGACCTAAGGTATTAGTGAGCTTGGCCTTTGCAAAATAGGGTTGGTAATATAGAAACTGTGACATGCAAACTGTGCGTGTGCGTGTGTGTATGTACACACACTCATTATTCAGGAAGTACATAGACACATAACCCTAAAGGTCACTGCCATCTGACATAAGATACCTCTGTGGAGAGGTCACAGGTATCTCACTTTAGGAGTTCTTGCTTTTGCTGGAATCAGCAGTGAATTTAATAACCATTTACTGATGAATATGGGAGCTCCCCGAATAAGTGCATTGTTTCCAGGGGTTATCTTTATTCCATGTTACTGCTTTTCACTTTAGCTCATGTTTAACCTTCTTCTGGTCAGTTAGTAACAAGTTATTTAAAAGAGAGAAGGAAATATATGGGAAATTTTTAGGCTGTGCAGATCATGAATGCTGAAAATAAGTTAAAGAAGGGTTCGAGAACTGTGGGAGTCAAGGTCTGTGTTCTCTTTATGTACTTGAGTATTTTTCAGGGATGGCCCTGGTTTTCATTCTGTCTTACAGAATATATTGTTTGGGTTTTTGCAGGTTCTAAGTAGCAAAGTCAGGATTGAGATGCATTGAGGTGATGATCTCTTTGACTCATCAGGCCTGAACTCTGAAATTTTTTGTTCTGTTGACTGGTTGAAAGGTCATTATGGTAACTTAAAACAGTCATTTAATCTTGCCTTGTTCCTATATCTGAAAAGTGGGTGTGAACATATATTTGTAAAGTGGTCCCAAGTTGGAACTGAAAAGTGCCATGAAGCTGTTGTGACTCTTACTGTTGCTTATTGTATCAAGCAGTAACTTCTATTACTTTTTAAACAAACCTCTAATTTTTGGTGTAACTGCTTTGTCATCAGCGTAGTGTAATCAATACATGTTTGAACGATTAAGTATAGTGTTAACGAATCTACTGTAGAAAAAGGTGTTTTTGTAACATTCCATTTCAAGGAAGATGTTTTTATGATAGTTTACCTAGAGCTGAAGGCTTTCCAAGTCTTAATGCCATAGGAAATTATTTTCACAATTATTTGAAGAATTGGTACTAATCTTTAACCAAAAAGTATGGTTTGCCAAAAAGCTGTATTACTGAGTGTGAGGGTAGATTTGGCATGTGATTCAGAAACAATTTTTTAGCATAATATAGGTGTACTTTACCTTATGGGTTGCTGATGAGTCTAAGTTCGTTTTAGAAATGGGACTTTGTACCCAAGTCTGCCCTTGTCATGCAGCGTATTAGTCATACAAGGATGTGGAATTTTAAAATTTGTAGGTGAGCACTTAAAAGTAAGCAGAATCCAGCAATAAGATTAGGACAAGCCTAATGACCATTACTGCTGAAAGTCTGAGAGATGTAATGTAACATGGAGATGATTACTTCTGTTTTAGAGATGAAGAAATTTTGTATCTTGAAAACATACATCACAGTAAGACAGATGAAATTGGTATTTTTCTTGTGTGTGTAAAAAGTAGCAGTGCAGATTGTGGTTTTTAATATGATTCAGTGGAGGTGCCAGACTGAAATAGCTTTCCTACAGCAAATCACCAATTTAATTAGACATAGAGTTAATACATAGAAAATCTATACATTGGGAAATCAATTTGTCTCATAGAGCTGAAGTTAAGGTGTATAGAAAGGTGTGATGGTAGAAAAACATTGAGGGATTTGAGGAAACTGGATAAAACATGAAGAACATGAACTCAAAAAGACAAGTTCATGCCTCTTCCATTCTCCTAACTAACTTGTAAGCTATCGTCTTCACATCAAATTTGGCTGTAGGCATCACAAAGAAAATAAATTATTTCTTTTAAGAATGTGATTAGCTGACAGGGGAGTGAAGGAGATTTTTGTCCCTACAAATGACTAGGTTAATCTGTCAGACACCAGAGTGTCCATATAACACCAATTACTGCAAATTGGTAGAGGCAGCAACAAAATTGACGTAGGTAGCGACTTCTTAGACAGCAGACTCCACTTACAAGACTCATGCACAGGAATTTCATGGTAACTTTTGGGAACCTTAGTGTAGAATACCAGTATCGAAGCAATTTGAAACAATCTCCTGTGACTTTTTTATTAGTTAAAATTGACTGTTTCCTAATGGAAATTCAGTTGAACTCCAGAAGTTTCCAGGAGGTCAATGCTGGATGTTTTCTGAGCACAGAATATCCACTGCTGCCTTGGACCTTCTGATGGCTTAGTTCAAGTGCTGATCCAACCGTCTGACTCCCTGAGAAAAACCTGATGATGCCTCTTTCTTCCTCCCTTCAGCTATGCCTGAACATGCATCGCAGGTATTTCTGTTGGGTATGACACTGATGAGGCTAACTGCAATTAAATATCCTCAGATAAGATTAGCTATTTACCAAAGGGCACTTGGTACTAATTGAGTAGCTTAACAGCATGCTGCACTACCATCTGGGAACCCAAATTCAGAAAGTTACTTGGGATCCTGGATTTCACACTGAGCTCACTGAAGAAATAGTGTATGTACGCATCTGGGGAGGAGTCTCCAAAGGAAGGAGCAGTCTCAGTAGAGTAGAGTTGTGTAACTAATCTTAATAAATATAATTTAGATGGGAGTGATGGTAAAAGGCCATTTAGAAGAAAGAAATTTTTGCTTTTGAGCACTGTACAAAAACTGAAACTGAAAAGGTTTTCAGAAGAGCAAAGATCACAGTTCAGATAAACATTTCAGACTGAAAACTGCCATTGTCCTCATGTAACCCAAATATTAAAAACCAATCCATTAAACCATCCCTATTAACCTGTTCTAAGTCTGATGACTAAATTTGTATGAAAACAGGATATTGCAGGTGCTGGGAAAGCAGCACTGCAGCTCTTCCAGCAGCCTGGATGTGTGCTAACAAGCCACACAAAACTCACTAATGTTAAGCAACAACATTCATAGTTTTTCAGGAAAATAACTGTTTTACTTCAAGTTAAGTTCACTTGAAATGCATCTGTTACTTTACTTGATATTGACTGTCAAGAAGAATATTTGGGCCTAGGAGCCCAAACCTGTACCGAGCAAAGCTCTTACTGTCCTATGCAAAGTTGTATTTGAATGCATCCAAAATGGCGAGTCTTGTACTGCCTGTATTGACCAGCAGACAGGGCAAACTGGAGGATCTCTTCTGTTCCCCACTCCCTACTTACCTACTTTGAGTGAAATATCAGTTTGGCATGAGTAGTTAACCCTTGTTTAACTTCAAGCATGTACATAAATCCCATTGATTGCAATTATCTGGATGAATTTTTTGCTTATTTGTACTATGAAGATGACTAAATGCCTTCAGAGGAGATTTGAGCCCCTCTGTGTAGTGCCTTACACAAATAGATCTGAGATAACTAGCCATCCAAAGTCATTACAACCTTATATTACAAAGAGAAAGGGAAACAGCTAATACAGATGTAGCTTGTAGTGTTGCTGCTAAGATTGCCAACGCTTTCCATAATAGAACCGGTTTATCTGGCTGATTTAAAAATTTAATCTGAATTCTATAAGAAGCTGCCTCGGGCTGCTTACTGGGTTGTATTGGTAGGGGGCTGTCAGCAGGAGTAGAAGGAGTCACTTGGAAACCATCTCTGAAAAGCCGTTGATAAACATTTTTTTTTCTTTAAAAAGATAGTATCTTTGTTAAGCAACCATATTGTTCCACGTTTGGGAGTTTAGTGAGAAGCTACTATGCCTGAAGGCAAAAAATTACTTCTTCCTACCAATTAGTCGATACTGCAGAAAAGTTTCCTTTGCTGTTGGTTACTAACAGAGCATACAGTGCAACAATTTAAACTAAATAGTAGAGTGTAGGTTAGGCCCACAAGTACAGACCAATTCTTGAGATGACCCAGGTAAGTGATGTGGTTACACCTTCTCAGTGGAGACATGCAAAGGGAGATAATAACAGCTGCCTGGGCAACCTGAACCGAGCTATCTCTAATTAGTCCTTAACTTGCAACTTGAGTGTTGTTTTAATGCAAAGGGAGACTGGTTGTGTGCATCTTTGAAAGCTGTGAAAACAGACTTCAGGAGCCCCACAGTCTTCACAGGGATCATCAGAGGGCTGGGATCTGTAAGTGGTAGAGGCTTGCATCTTAAATCTAAAGTTGGTAAATATTCATTTATATGATGAATCTACTTTACAAGGAGACTTGACACTGTGACTTTCAAGTTTCATGTTTGTTCTCATTTTGAATAGATTATTAGGTGAGAATTAGTTAAAAGTGAAGACTTAAGTGAGAGGAAAGCAGATTGTTAATTTTCGTTTTACTAATAACAGATTTAAGGTAAAGCTGTTCAAGTGCAGTTTTACAGAGAAACAAAGGCAAAACATTAAGGAGAGGATCAACAACAAAACACACAGATGAGAAATAATGCAGATTTTTTTTCTTTTTTAACATATGGTATTTTCTGTCCTACCTTTAAGTAGTGAGGATGCAGTAAGAGACTTGAAGTGGCTTTGAAGTGAAGAGTGAATTAGCAGCAGAGGAAATTAAACTTCTCCTTACATGAAATCTGTATGTAGACTCAGCAAAGATTGCAATTTAGGAGGAAATTACCCAGAAAACTTGGAAGTAAAATGTATTAAATCTCCAAAAGTAGTTATCAGAAGCTTTTACAGAAGAAATATGAAATGGCAGATAAGAAATCTCCCTATGAGATCTCTTAAATAACAACTTGTAAGTTACTAGTCCACTGTGTTTTCTGATAATTGAGGATTTCAGGAACTTTATTCTTCACGCTAGTTTTAATTCGAGAAAAATTATTACAATTGGAAAAAAGATTGTACTGTTCGTACTGGGTAAATACTATCTTCCAGGACACCAATTAATGTCATTTGTCCATAGAGAAGGTATTCTCTCAGTTGTTAGGGTAGAGGGAATAAAAATTTCTAAAAGAATTATTAAAGTGGAAATTAATTTATTGACTTCTACCAAAAGGTTGGAAGAGAAGCCATTGGGACTGTAGGGAAGATAACTAAAAGGACAGTTGTGTTGGAAATAGTTGAGTGCTAGGAAATAGTCCAGTGACCTTATTTTCAGTTTGCTAACAGTTCATTTTGCAGAAGCTGACATATGAACCAGTGATTAATAGACTGGTTAAGAAAAGTTAAGGAGTTTGACTGTAATTTAATTGATAAAACTTTAATTTCATTAAATTAATCCAACAAGATGGAGATCCAAACACAGTAATATTGTCAAACAAAAAAAGCTTTATCCTTCTCATAGATCACAGCTGTTCGATAACCTATCTGCCTATATATCCAGATATCCCTGAATTCTGGTAATGTTTCCCGAGCAAAAATCATTCAGCTTTACGACTAAGAAAAAGGCTTATTTCGTCTGTTCTTAATTTTGACATAAATAGTGTCTTTAGTGTTCACACTAGAATAGATGAGGATCTACTCAATAGCTGTATCCAGACAATGCTCATTAGTACTGAATATTATTATCCAAGTTTGTTTTTAAAACACTTAGATTTAAAAGGAGGAGCATAAAAAAGCTTAGTGTAAAACTGCATTTTTTTATTGACTCGAGACATTCCAGAAGAAATAAATCTCCTTTGAAATAAAAATAGACCTGGCTGCAAACCTGCCTGTTTGACCACTCCCGGAAGTGATTCATGTGAATTAGGACATGAGTAGGAGTCACTGGGCTTTCGGGAGGCTTTTCATGTTAAGGCGCATTTGCGGTGCTTGTTGCAAAGTAGCTCTGGACAGGAGGGTCGGTCTTGATTCTTAAGTGTGATGTTCCAGTTCTGTTTAGTGTATAACTTAATAGAATAGAGTGTAAGGTGGGTTGGGGGGGAGTGGTTTGGGTTTTCTCTTCCTGTTTTTTTTCTACACACGTTACATTTTACCTTTAATTCGCAGATTGTCCCAGCACTCCTGATACTCCAAATAGCGACCCTCGGTTTTCTACTAACAACAGATTGATGGCCTTAAAGAAGCAGTTGGATATAGAACTGAAGGTAAAACAGGGAGCAGAAAATATGATACAGATGTACTCAAATGGCTCTTCAAAGGTAAGAATTTGGAATGCTTGAAGAACATGAAATAACTGGATTTTCATACTGCTGTAGTGTGACTGTACAATGTATAAACATTATGCAAATTCAGTATTTTTTGTTTGGGGTACATTTCTGTTAAATAGTTACATCAGAGCTGCTACAAATTACCATTTTCTGTTGTGGTTTGATACCCACTGAAGTGATTGTTTTATCAGTTTGTGCACATGCAGTTCAACCTAAATAACAAATCCGGCTTACTAAATTTAGTACATCTAGTAATCTTTGATCATGTGTGATTCCCTTAGCAGCAAAGCTTGGTATAACACTGGCTGGAGTCTGATGCTTTTCCTAGCTCTGCTCAAAAAAAAAAACTCAGTTAGTTTAAAATTGTAATGTGCACAATAAATACAAAAAAGACAGCATTGCAAAGTATGCTTCTGAAATGGTCATCTAGTTGTAGTTAGCAGTAAAAAGATTTTTTAATGGAAGTGTGGTAATCTAGAGGTAGCATCTGATAGTGAAATTAAAAATAATCCACACTTATTCCTATATCTGAATTTTAAATTCTTGCGCTCGCTCACTCTTGATAGCACCAGAATTTTTCCAAGGAGGTGGAGGGAAAGTGTCTGCTAACCTCTAAATGGGTTTGACATATTACATATTCCTTACTATGTAATAAAATTCATCATACCCTAGGAATCCCCTAACTCTAGTGAAAGACAAGCCAAACCTTTTAAATGAAAGAAAACAAACCAAAACAAAAACATTGACAAAAAAAGCCGCAGAAACCAACAAAAAAGGGGCTGCAACACATATTTTATTAGAGAGTCATAGTTCTCAAATGAGAAAAAAGGGAGGGGAAGATCCTCTACTTATCTGCCCCTTTACCTTTCATTTGTTACTCATTAGCTGTTCTTTTCATTTACTAAGTCATTAAGGAGATGAATTTCCAAACTAAGGCGAAACACAAGAATAAATCTCACAAGTAGTATGTAGTAGCTTGGTTATATGTTTTTGTGTCCAGACAATAGTAAGTAAAATAGAAATATTTTAAGATCTTAACTGGGGCAACACCTAGCTAGGTCAGTGAACTTACTAAAAAGAAGTGTTTGACTTGAAGAGTAGGCATCTGTGAATTATGTTAGAACTGATTCTAATCTGAGTGTTGGAAAGGGAACAACTTTCACTTTTCTGAGTGAATTTGTGCTAAGGGTTGGTGGAGAGGCAGATCACTTCGTATCTGCCTACTGTATGACTTCCTTATACCTTGAAAAAATGGCAGTGAATGCTGCTTTCTCCCAGAAAAATGAGTTTAGACGAGATGGACATAGGTGCCATCAAGTTCCTTCTGTCCCAGGTAGCCTTATCTGAAAGTGACCTCTAACATACTAGCTTGGGGCAAATGGAAGAAATACCTGGAGTGCACATTATGACTAAGGGCCTAGGAATGCTGTCCATGCACCACAGTCCCTCAGCTCCTGGAAAACCTTGGAGTCTACATCCTCTCAGGCCATATACTTAACATCAGGTACACTTAAAACTAATGATCTGCTGACCCAAATGGATCAAAAGACATACATGAATTAAGTTTCTAATAAACCCTCGGTAAGTAACCTTATAACAGGCTGGAAAAACTTAACTAAACACTTGGGCTGTAATATTGTTAGCAGGCTTGGATCAGACTAGGTAGAGAGGATGAATTCTGCCTTGCTTTATGATTGAGGCATGTAATTAAAATTTATGATTGAATCTTGAATTTGCAATTGGTAAATGCTTAAGTCAGCCTACCAAATTGGGGTTATATAGTATCTGGGCTGGAGAGAGCAAGCTGGAAAGCACAAAAGCATTGCCAGCCACTTCAGCAAACAGGATGGAAATGGTGCGTATTCATTCTCTCATTTTTGTAATGCTCAGTAGTGAGTTAGTGTGGCAGGTTTGAACCATAGACTTGAGCATGCTGATAATGTTTTAAAAAGCAGAGCTTGAAAAGAACCCAGTGTCTGGATGAGGTGGGCAAAGGGGGCAGAAAATTACAAGTTTGAATACAACCCCAGTAATCCAGTAGTTCTTTAAAAAGTAGTTGCAGGACCCTCTTTAAACATATTAAACTAATTTGTGACCTTTTATTCAAGTGTACAATATGATCTAATTTCAAATCTGTTGTATTATTTTCAGACCTAAATTTAATCGAGGGAGGTCATAATTTATTTTCTAAAAATGAAAAAGCAGTCTGTTAATAAACCCATCATCTCATGGGAAGCTTTTCCCTTTGTACTTACTCTACTTGCTTCAGTAACATTCAGCTCAACCTATTTGTACTTAAACATTTCTGAGATAAGTCATCTTTTCTTGGATATATGTGGGTTCCCTGAGATCCCCTGACAGCTTTGCAGATCAGCTTCACAGGCACTGTCAGTTCTATACTCAGAAGATGCATTGAAATACTTTGTATTCAGCCTCCAACACTGAAAGAGCTGCTCAGTGTTACACATACATTTTGATTCTGAAGATGAGATCTTCTGTCTCTTGAAAACTTAAGGATATCTCTATAATCCTGAATTGCCTCCGTTCTACACGTTGAAGGGTCAATGTGGCCCCTGAGCAAGCAAATCCATCGCAGTAAGAGGCTATGAGGGATAATCAAGAGGAGCAAGATGAAAAATGAGATAAAAGTAAAGACACAGACAAAGAAACACTGAGTATTTATACATCAGAATGATGTGTGGATAAGGTTTAATACAGGATTCCAGACTTGCTTGTAATCTGTTGCTTAAATCCTATGCTCTGCTAAAGAGAGTGGTTATTTCAAAAGTTCACATTTGTACTTGAGAAGGCACCGATTTAGGAAATTCCGTGTGATCATTAGCTCATTGGATAGCTAACATGGAATCTTAAAATATGAAAACTAGTGGTATCTCTCTGAAATGTTGATCCATACTAAAATTTAAAAGCAAGAGTTCTGAGCTTATGGTATGCAGAGGGGGCACAATTTCTTCCCATGCAACCAAAGTCTTTTTATGTGTAGATCTTGGTCTATCTACCCTGCAGAACATAGGGCAGCATTAAAATATCTGAGTGAGTAATATGTCAGGTGCAAGGTCACAGAGGAGCTCTATGAAGGTAAATTTCTCAGCATACAAATTTTTCTCACCATATGCTTCATGGTGCCAGTATTTCTAGCTCTGGATATGTGCTTCACTGCAGTTCTTTGTCTTGGTTGTGGCAAGGGGAAGAATTTAATTTCTTTAACTTCTTAAATAATTGATAACTTCATTATAAAATTAAAAATACAAGTATAAACCATGTCCATGGGAAAGTAACTTATTAATGAGGTTATTGAGTGACTACAAAATGAGTTAACCAAAATACCCTTTGGGCTATAACAAGGGTGATACTCATCTGCACTGACTGCTATTAATTACTGTGATTGATTGGTAGTGCACGGACAGGACAAATAGAGTGCCTTAAATTTTCTTACTTTTTTTTTTTTTCTTACTGCAAGTCAGATCACCTTTAAGTTATCTGGTAATTTCCAGAGTGTACAGGGAGAACCACATGGCAGCCCATAGGAGTTCATGCAAGTTCATTTTCAGGAATGTTCTCTTCTAAACGGCTTCTTGTGATACTGCTTTTGAAAACAAAAATTGGTTATCTTAGTTTATTTAGATAAAAAAGTACTGTACTCAAGCTACTGATGAAATAGGTAATGAAGTAGCCATGGTTTGTTATGTATTTACTAATGCAAAAAATCTTCAGCTCTGATTTGTTCAGGAAAATGTACTGCAGACTTATTTATAATGTGCTACATAAGCAACTTCATCTTTCTAGTTTCAATATTGAAGATCAGCTCAGATGAACTAGCACGATTACTTTTATATGGGCTTAGTCTAGCAAATTTGTCTATTACAAGAGTTCTTAGCATACTTGGAAGATTTGAGTCATTCTACATAATGTTGGGGGTATTTTACACTTAATATCTTGTCCTTTCTTTAGTATCAGCTTACAAAACATTAATTTACACATGTTATGTTTCTAGATCATGCCTCCTTAATTCAGCTTGAAGCATATACAGTTTCCATGGGAGTGGCTTACAGTCTTTAATCAACCAGTGCCTCTGTCCTGACTTGATTTCCATTAATATCCTTATGTGCTTAGATGAATTGGTCTGCTATACCAAATGAAATACATCGATTTAGTTCTTGTTCCTAAGTATGTATGTTTTGAAATTTTCAATGTGTTTTGTTCCACGAAGAAGTTTATGATTTAAACTTGTCTGTTTGTTCTAATAGGATCGAAAACTTCTTGCCACAGCTCAGCAGATGCTTCAGGACAGCAAGACAAAAATAGAAGTTATAAGGATGCAGATTCTTCAGGCAGTCCAGACCAATGAATTGGCTTTTGATAATGGTGATGGTGTAGAAAGGAAATATGAATCAATTATGTCAGAATGTCTTGTAGATATGTACCCATATGCACACAGAGATACCATAAATTTCTAGTAGGAATGTTTGACAAAGCTTGCATGAACCAAAAATAATCAGAGACTAGGCAAAACTTTGTGTTGGGGTGCCAAATACATCTGACTTGAAGGAAAATACCTTCAGCTTAATGAATTACAATCGCTTTTCATCATCCTTTTTATGCCTTCTGCAGTCCATTTTTGCTCTGTGGTTTCCTTCCCTCTTCATGCATGCTTTATTTTGTCATAATAGTAATTTTCTTTAAAGCATATTATCCTTTCATGATCCTAAATAAAAAATCTGATGCAGGTACAAAGCCTGCTTGTCACACTTAAGTAGGTTGACCTTATTACTAATGGGAGCACAGATGGAGGAGAATTTTTCTTGTCTTGATGGGTATTTAGGATAGATTTGAGTGCTAAACAACTATTTTTAAAGCAACAAAAAAAGTGTTTTTAAAGCAACCTGATTGAAATGCTCATGCTGCATTTCAGAAATAGTTTTAAATTTGCATTTCCTTGGAAGTCTTCAAAGAATAAAAAAAAATTACCTCTGAGTTCTAATAACTTGATTGTACTAGACACTTGTGGGCATATCGGTACATCTCTAAGTCTTGACATTTATTCATGTGCATTTCTGAAGCTGTATGACAATGTCAGGGCCTGCATGTATCCTAGATAATGAAAAACGTGGGTGTGTGTTTGTTGGTGTGTGAGGTGTCTGATTTTTCTGTGTTTGTTTTTACACACCCAATTTCAACACCTCATTTTAGTACATGGATTATGTATATCATTTGTTTAAAAGAAAAAGGTATTCAAGCTAGAAAGGGCTTTCAAATGCCTTTTTGTGTTTCGACTGCTCTTAGAGCTTTAAACGGAAAGAAATACATCCAGGAAATTTTTCTTTTTGGGAAATCTAAGGACTGTAAGATGTGGACATTAGAATGGTTTACCCAAACCATTTGGGGAAGGCAGTGTGTGGGATCTCTTACATTCTCTGTGCTGACAGAAGCCAGATTCCATGGGATTTCATGTGAGGCAGGGGGATTATCAGAAGCTGAGCAGGGATCTACTTGGCTACAGAGTAGTTTAAAAAATAAGTCCTCACAGTGTAATTCAGAAGTGTTGAAGTCTCAAAACCTCCTTGCCAGTTGAATATTTGGGAGATTTGGTTCTTGTCCCTTAACTCCCCTGAAGACATGTTCTTTTTCATGCGTCCTCTAGCAATTATAGCTCTTCAAGCAGTAGGATCTGTTTATTGAATTGAGGCCCTGATCAGTTATTTCTTCATTCAAATGCAGATGCTTAAAATGTTACTGTTGCTTTTATGACATACTTGGGGCTTCTCTTTGGACTACCAAATACGCATCTCTCTCTTTTATTTCTTTTTCTTCTCCGCTCTGTTTACATGGGGGAGGGGTTAATATTCAGGAAATTAAACCTGGGTGTTATCTTCATTGAAGTTTGTTTGTCTGTATCTCTTTGCAGCAAAACCTGTGATAAGCCCTCTTGAACTGCGAATGGAAGAATTACGGCATCATTTTAGGATAGAGTATGCTGTAGCAGAAGGTGCAAAAAATGTGATGAAATTACTTGGATCTGGGAAAGTTACCGACAGAAAGGCACTTTCAGAAGTAATTTATGTCATTACAATTTCTGATAGTTTGCTTTAAAGGTTCTTTCAAGAAAAAAAATTGAAATATTTCAAATTTTTGTCTTATTTTAAAAAGGCGCAAGCAAGGTTTAATGAATCAAGCCAGAAGCTGGACCTCTTGAAGTATTCACTGGAACAGAGATTGAATGAGCTTCCTAAAAACCATCCCAAAAGCAGTATTATTATAGAGGAGCTTTCATTAGTCTCTTCACCCACATTAAGTCCTCGTCAGAGTGTGATATCTACTCAAAACCAGTACAGTACACTGTCCAAACCAGCAGCTTTAACAGGTATGATTTATGGAGCTTTTTTCTTTTTTTAATCTTAATTAATGGCTTAAAGCAAGTCTTTAATGCCAACTGTATTTCTTTCTGGACATACTTAATTGTTGTTCTTTTCCTAGACAGAGGCATTTAGAATTTCCAAGTGTCTATGCACTGCAAAAAAATGCAGATAAGTTTCTATGATTTATTTGTTGACCTATTTATAATCCTGTTGAAAAAGTGAAGTTCTGGCCTTAAATTAGCTCACTGTGGAATGATATTGCTCGCATTTACCTAATGCCTTTTGTCTTTAGATTACCAAGCACTTTAAAAGGTGCATAAGTATCATTATCCCCATTTTACAGATGGGGAAACTAAGTTGCAGAAGGGTTAAGTGAATTGCCCTGGTCATACAACAAGTAGGTGGCAGAGCTGGAAATAGGCATCCAGCTTTTCTAACACAGTTCCTGTTTTACCCACTGAACTTCACTGGATTTCTGGAAGGTGAGATTTATGCAACCAAAACATGCATTATATTTGTATTCCAAAGAAGGAGATCCTAACAAACATTCATGGAACCCTTGAACACTATTGGTGTTGATTGTTCTCCTGTTGATTAAACATGGAGGCAATTTTTTTAAGAGACTTAGCCTACCTACTGTAAAGGACCAGTACATTTATTTATAAATATAAGACTTAGGAACTTCTCATAGTTGGGTTCACCTGGTTGTCCTTCCTTGGAAGTAAACTTTCAAGAGATGAACCCTACTTCAACAAAGGTCTTGAGCATTTGCCTCACAGTGTTCTTAAAGAAAAACATGCTTTTGACTACTTGGGATATGTTGCTTTATTAAATTTATTTAGTGAGTGGTCATAGAAGAATTGCTAGAACAGATAGGTTTTATTTCATGTTTTTTATCCTCACACATTTTACATGTAACTATTAAGCCTACTATTAACAAAGTAAGTTTATTACAAAAAAATCTGTAATTCAAAGGTTACTCTGGTTATACTTGTATAACTGAAACCAGAATTTAGTTTTGAAGTACTGTGGGGTTATATTTTAAAACAAAAAGAGGAACTCTTCTGCCGAGCTGCAGTGATAATAATAAAATGGAGCAGCTCTGCTTGTCTTCCACTGTGGTTCATCAGGGCCTCAGCTGAGAGTCCTTGTAAAGTTGTGTGGTAGGGGCAACGTTTTTCATCAAATGCAATCTCAAATGATCGGTGACCATGGGCAGGAAGTATCATGCCTTGGGATTAAAACAGCTTTTTTTTTTTCCTTTTCCTGTAATACCATAATCAAGAGTCAGATTCAATAGAGTGACAATTTCTCTTTAAATGTGATTTACTGATACATATGAACAGTTTTTAATAGAAATTGTCAAAACAGAGCTACATGCTTGTGAAGTTCTTAATAGTTTCACTTTCACATTGACTACACAAAGAGCTTTTGTATTGAGCTGGTTTTAAATGAACAGTGTCTTTGTGTTTTGCCTCTAACGCTTTGTGAAAAATAGAGCAGTGCTGCTGTCATACTTCTTAACGTGCATCAACATAACTTTCTGATATAAAGCCATTCCTTATACAGGCTTATAGCTTTTCTGCTTATTAATTTCTTTTTTTTTTCTAAACAGAGTTTGGGAATGAAGTATTCTTTTACCTTTTAACCTGTTTCGGAAGCCAATAGCATCTCTTTGTCTTCATAGCCTAATGCTTAGCTGTCACTTACGGCTGTTAGTTTCCTACAGGTTGGGATTTCTTCTTGGACTGGTTTCTTGGTGTCTGTTCTGTGGGCTATGATGTTGCCAGATCATTTTTAGGTCAAGTCTCACTTAAGTTTCTGTTGCAAAGGAGTACTTTTAAGTTTCATGGTTAAGTACATTTGCTATTAAAAGAAGACTGCATTTCAGCAGTGCATTTCTCACTGACACTGTGATTATGAACTGGCTAATTTCACCATTTCTAGTAGTTAATTTTGTCAGTGTCAGTGGTGTCACAGTTTTACAGATGTTATCTTCTACAGGATGAAGTCAGCCTACGGTTCTTGTAACCATCTGTGGTATTTAGATGTTTTTGTGCTGCTGGAGGAAACTCTTTTCAATTTGAACCGCAGCTTCTATACCTCATTTGGTTAAAGATGTAGAAGACCTGGAAGAGTACCTTCTTGAAGAGTAGCTTCTTGTCTCAGCTTTTATAAATCTAAATTCAGTAAAGTTGGAACAATTCAATGATTTTTAATTACGTACTAACTCAAATTTGACTTTAGCATATAGCAGGCAAATGTGATTTCTGAGTGTATCTTAAACAACTTTGTAGTCTCAAAGTCAGTATGTTATTTTTATTCAATATTAATTAGTTATATAAAACTCATGAAAAATTGTTATTGTTCCATCCACAAGATCTATTGTTTTAATAAGAAATTCAAAATTTGCAGTCTTAAAAAGTGACATTGCTTACAACTTAAACCCTAGTCAGTTAGGTTCTCAAGTGAAGAAAACAAAGATACTTCTGAGACACAGAACAAAAACTTATTTTGTGTTAATTTGGTAAATGGTTGCTCTTTCTAGAAGGTTGAGTCCCACATATTTGACTTTTGATGCATTTATTTTCAGTATATATGTCTGTCTTGGATTTGTCTTTTGATTTCATCTGATATTTCTGTTATACCCTGTGGGGGTCAGAATGTGAACTATTGCCATCAATCAATCATTAGTCATTCACTTGGTTTACTTAATAGCAGAAATCTTTGATAAACTGTTGTCTGTCATCTTCTAGGTACCCTGGAAGTTAGGCTAATGGGCTGCCAAGATATTTTGGAAAACGTCCCTGGTCGATCAAAAGCCACATCAATTACGTTACCTGGTTGGAGTCCAAATGAAGCCAGATCATCTTTCATAAGCAGACCCAGTAAAAGTAAAAGTGGGAGTAGTAGAAACCTTCTGAAAACTGATGACTTGTCCAGTTCAGTATACTCTTACTTCTCTTATTTTTATGGATATCTTTTATTTACGTTTTCATGTGCATGATGTGTTCTGTAATTTAAAGTATTAAATTGATTCAAAGCTTTAAACTTACCTGTTTCTTCACCTGTCAAGCTGTTAATAAAAGCACAACCACACTATTATGCCCATAAGAATCAGTTAAATATGAGATTACATTTTTAAGGGAAACTTACTAGAGATTTTTTTGTTTGTGGAAAATCCTCTTAAAGACTTAAACTGAGTTTGTGTACTTTACTTTCAGATGAAGTCTGTGCTGTACTGAAGCTGGATAACACTGTGGTTGGTCAAACTAGCTGGAAACCAATTTCCAATCAGTCATGGGATCAGAAATTTACACTGGAACTAGACAGGGTAAAAATGTAGCCTGATTTCATTGACATCTGTAGTTGATTTTTTTGATTAATTTGATGTTGCCTTTTATTTTTCCCCTGTTGCTGTCATTTTGTTCAAATTTCATACGTGCAAGTATTCCCATCCTTACCAGAATGAGCTGCCTGGGGTTAAGCCATTGTGCTGGGCCAGCATTCTAGAAATTGTACCTTTTCTGCCTTACAAGTTGATGTAATGTTTTTACCAACATCAAACAATTAGGATTTTTTTAGCCCATGGTAGATGGTTCTTACATTTTAATTTGGATTACCAGATTTTAGTTATTTATCAGTAAACTGTAAAAGCAGATAGATACAGTTTGGTATTTTGGTAAAGCTATGTCATAGAGTTTTTACAGTGCTTCTACAGAAGTGTTCTCGTGTAAAGCTGATCAGTGCTTCAGAAATAACAAATTCAGTCATAGTTCTTTCTTACAACTTTAAATATTACTTGAAGGGCACAAGTACTGAATTGATACCCTTGAAGTAGAATTTATGTTATATAGGTTTAATCAAGCATTTGTTTTTTAGATATCTGATAGTCACAGCATTTTAAGGTACAAGGATTATTTTTTCCATCAGTGTTTAAAATAGACTGAAAATTAAACTATATTTTAGGAGCTTAAATGTTACCTCTAGTATATGTCTAAAACATATGACAAAAAAAAAGCTACCTTCCTGTTTTTGCTTTTTCCCCGACGAGCCCCACCCCTCCAGCCCCAGACCAGACTCCCTCCGTCTAGGAAGGAAGGAAGCAGCTTTAGAGCTGCAGGTAGAGAACTTCAGGTTCTGGTCAGGAGTAGTGCAGAAAAAAAACGAGCAGATGTGGAGCCCTGAAGCCTTGATTGTTCTCAGATTCAGACTAGAACTACTCAAAGCGTAGTAGCTGCTCACACCAGCCTAGTATGTGTCATGGTCTCTGTTTAAGAACTCAGCTTTTTGGTGCCAGAACAGGACCTTGCTCCTGCTGTTCATGACCACATATTTCATGTATTTGAAATGCACAATCCAAACCCCGTCATTTTTCAATCTGTTGCTTCTTCTTATTTCTTTTAAAACCTATCATAGCTATCACAGACAGTAAACTGATGCATCATTATGGAATTAAACTGGTAACATACAATGCTGCTGTTATATTGTATTGCAGGATTCTTCACATTTTGTGACAAGCTTTTGTAACAGGCATGTAAGACAGCCTAAGAATATATAAATCCCACCAGCAAGATACAGCAGTAGTTCTTGTTAGTTTTAAAGTTTTTGGCCCTGCTTCCCGACTGTGTTACAAAACCTGTATGTACTTTTAGAAATACTGTATAAAGTTTTGCATCATTGTGTGTATGCAGGTACTGAATTGTCTGCAGCCACGAAATGAAGTTGATAGTTGTAAATAACATGGAAAACTGCTAAAGCTGAGGTTAAACTTTGTTGTCAGAGCTTGAACTCAAGTGTCTTGAACAAGCAGTATTGTTAGACAGACTCAAAAAGTCTGGTGACTGTTTGTGACTCTCTCCCTTTACTCTCAGGGGAAATTTTACACCTGTACTTTTATTTGTACACTGGTGTTCACATCTGAACTGAATTGAAGTGCCATGGTCATCCTCATGAGAGCTTGTTAGTCTGGCTGGTTAAACCCTGACAGTCCTTTAAAGTAACAGCTCTGCATCTTGGTTGTTGGATCTTACAGTGGTAACTCTTGCAGAACAATTACTAATAAGTAATTTCCTGTGTATATGTTTCCTGTCATAGTCACGTGAATTAGAAATCTCAGTTTACTGGCGTGACTGGAGATCTTTGTGTGCAGTGAAGTTTCTGAGGTTGGAAGATTTCCTGGATAACCAAAGGCATGGCATGTGTCTCTATCTTGAACCCCAGGGCACTCTGTTTGCTGAGGTAAGAATGTTTCTTTGAAGCACTTGAATATACTTGCAAGTATTATGTCGCAGAATAGTTTAAGAAGTTTTCCTTAAACTTTTAAGAATGCATTTGTTCTGAAAATTAAATTGTAACGCACATTATTTGAACTGCAGGTTACATTTTTTAATCCAGTTATTGAAAGAAGACCAAAACTCCAGAGGCAGAAGAAAATTTTTTCGAAACAGCAAGGTGATTGTTTTATATAAACATGTAAAGCTTAGAAATTGTATAGATCTGTGATATTTTTTATACAGTCTTAATGTTTGCCTGCGAATAAAGCTGTTGATAATGAAGGATTTGGCATTGCATTTAGAAATGTTTTGAATTAGAATTCCTTATTGCACATTAGCATTTAATTGTGAATAATTAGGAATTGCTAAATAATATGACAGATTTATTTTGTTCTTGATAAACTATAAATGGATTAATATTGGGGGGGTTTAATTATTATTTGTGGTAATAAGTAAGGAAATTACTTGCACCCTGTTTTCTTTTTTCACAATATCTATAGGCAAAACATTTCTCAGAGCTCCTCAAATGAATATTAACATTGCCACTTGGGGAAGGCTGGTAAGAAGAGCCATTCCAACAGTGAATCACTCTGGCACCTTCAGCCCCCAAGCACCAGTGCCTGCGACCGGGCCGGTGGTGGATGCCCAGCTCGCTGAACTGACCCTGCCAGCTGGGTACGTGATCTCTGCAGGGTTTAAGTGCTCTTAAGTGCAAGAGGTAACAGTGAGATGCTTCTGCCCTGAGGCAGAAGAACATAACGTTTGTTGAGTCTGTTTATTCTGCAAGGCTGCAGATCTTTCCGTGTTTTAATTGTGGAGATCCATTTTATAGCTAGATCCACACACATAAGGTCTGGTTTAGAAGAGATCTACATAGCTTAAAACAGTCTCTGCTGTACACTGAGGAGTTATTTATTTTCTTGTCAGTGACTCTCCTGTAGCCAAATTGGACTTTGAACTTGAGCCTGAGCCTCCACCTGCTCCACCCCGTGCATCTTCCCTTGGGGAAATATGTGAATCTTCCTCTGAGATAAAGGCTCCTGATGTGCCTTCTCAGGCAAGTAACTTTTAAGAATCTTTATGATGGATTTCTTCCCTTACATATCAGCCTATGCTCCCTTAACTTCCACATACAGAACTGTCTCAACAGAATGCTCTGACTGCTCTTGGTGGCAAACTGTTTCCATGGTTGGTGTATTTAACTCTCCAAGTCATTGGTTCCACCACGGGAAAAAAACAAAAGTCCAAAATCATTGGAATATTAAGGATAAAATGGTTGTATTGAGAAAGAGCAGAATGACTGGAGCAGTAGGTTTCATCAGTCTGTTAAAAGCTTGTTTGTCTGTATCATCTGAAAGGTTGCCATTTTAGCCTAGGTAATGAGTGTATTAAGAATTTTACACACTTTATAGTAAAATTTCTATATTCATTTGCCTTCACAATCAGTTTTAAATTTTCTGATCTCTTGTTCTTCACAGGATGAAGTAACAACTTGTGATTTTGAAAATGGCAGAAATAGTATTGTTCCAAAACTCCAACCTGAAATAATTTGTGAGCCTGATGCTCCCCATACAGACATGAAATACACCAACACCAGAGAACCTGAGGATAGAAGGTGAGACAGCAATGGGTTTGCTGTTGATCTGAATAATATTTCTTAAAGTTAATAAACGAGAAAGTTTGTGATTTTTTTTTTTTGTATTTACATAGATCACAACAAAGATTTCAGTTCAGTCTGAAGGATTTCAGATGTTGTGCTGTACTGGGCAGAGGACATTTTGGAAAGGTAAATGTCAAAAGGCTGTATCAAGTGTCAAGTCAATATCAAAAACTAAATGCAGCTCTTAAATTTCTCTCTTCTGTTTTAGGTGCTGTTGGCAGAGTACAAAAACACAAACGAGATGTTTGCTATTAAAGCCTTAAAGAAAGGAGATATTGTTGCTCGTGATGAAGTAGACAGGTCAGTTTGTGAAATGTGACACGTGAATTCCATAATTTGTTTTCTTTCTGCATGCAGCTCTTCCTGCTGTAAGCTCTACCAAGCAGTACTTGAATTGAGTGGATGAGCAAAAGAAGTTGTCATTTCCCTGTGTAGTTGGCTGCTGCAGACATGTAGTCTTGTTCTGGAACAAGGGGAGAGCAGGGTAACCCAGGAATGCTGCTTTGTTTTAGTGTCCTCACCATGTCTGTACTACAGCTCTGACTTAAAGCTGGACCTGGTTTTGATTTCAGGTTCTCTTGCAATTATTTAGTCTAATTACTGGTTCTGTAGATTTCCACCATGTTTCAGGACAACAGTGACTGTTTACTTGCAAAACCCCTGTGTTGCTTTTCTCAGCCTGTAAAATACTGTCATACTTTGTCCATCATATTTTTCCCTGTGTATACTCCACTGTTGGGAGTGGAGTTTCAATCTTTTTGACCCAAAACTGAAATTATTTTTTTTTTAATTTACTTGGAAGTGAAGAGGCCTTTACAAAACTGTTTTTAATTTTAGTGCAAGGTGTTTTTACAACTGTTTAAGGGTGAGTATATTCATTTGCAGGAAGAAAGATGACTGTATTAACAATAAGCTAAAAATTAACCAGTTAGCTTAAGGAGAAATAATCAGGAATTACTATTGATAGATATTTATAATGTTGCCACTGGTTTTCTACTTTATGTATTATATACTATTAAAATGGATTGAAGTGAATGTCATGATATCAATGCATAGTTAATGTGATCTGAGTATTTGGAAGGAAAATTATCAGGGCACAATTTTCATGGACTACTAGGTTTCCTCTTTTCATTTGGGGAAGCTAAATGTAACTTCACAGAAATCAACTTAATATGTGTGCAAGTATTAAAATCTCTCTTGGAATAAAAAAATGTTCTTACCTTCTCCTGAGGAACAGAGGAAAAAACATAAGGTGTAAAGTACCAGTAGTTTCTGAGAATCAAAAGCATTCAGCTTTAAATTGTTCCTGATTTTCTGTTTGCAGCTTGATGTGTGAAAAGCGAATATTTGAAACTGTGAATAGTGTAAGACATCCCTTCTTGGTGAACCTTTTTGCTTGTTTCCAAACCAAAGATCACGTTTGCTTTGTAATGGAATATGCTGCTGGCGGGGACCTGATGATGCACATTCATACTGATGTCTTCTCTGAACCACGAGCAGTGTGAGTATCACCCCCCTTCTGTGGCACCACGGGAAGGGCACTTTGTTCACTGGGTAGGAACTGAGGTCTTTATCACCACATGCCTCCATATTATGTCACTTCAGCCAATGCTGCTTAAGTTTTTAAGAGGGTTAGAGATTCTAACTGATTTTGTTAGAAAATGACATGCAGATTTAATGTACCTGAATCTGCATTGAATTCAAAATGTATATACAAATGTTTAATTTTTATAATTTGGGTTTTTTAAGATTACATAACAAAGCTGAACAAGAAGTAAAATAGCAGACAAAGCTAAAAAAGGAGAGAATAAGCCTGTTTAGAAAACCTTCAATGCTTCTGGCAATGGGCACTACAGAAAATTTATCCTCCAGGCCAAGCAAATATACTACAGTTCAAAGGCTGCACTTTTGCCATCTGGCTTTAAAACTCTGACCTCGTATAAAAGTAATCTGTACCCAAAAACAACAGTGGGTAATCTTCAAAGGATGGCTCATAAAAAAAATCAGTAGTAATGGACTTCACCTTCTGAAAAGAAAGACTAAATTCCATTGAAATTTTAACTTTAATTTTTTTGACAGATTTTATGCTGCATGTGTGGTTCTTGGACTTCAGTATTTACATGAGCACAAAATAGTATATAGGTAAGTAGTCACTGGCCCATTTGCAACAGAGGAATGTCAGCTATTCTCAATAGTACTGAAGAAACATCAAGTGATGCAATTTTGTTCTCAAATGTTCATTTAGAGATTTGAAGTTGGATAACTTATTGCTGGACACAGAAGGCTTTGTGAAAATTGCTGACTTTGGTCTTTGCAAAGAAGGTAATGGCAGTTAAATTTTCCTTCTAGGGGAATTCCATAGTCTGTCCTGCTCTTGACTGTTCCTTGAAAGTTTTGGACTGCCAGATGTGTTTAGTGTCTATTTACCATGTGTCATTTGAAGGGAAAAAAATACATCTCTGTGTCAGTGTGGAGATAGAAGGAAGTTCCTTAGTGGGGAAGTATTGGGAGCACCTGAGCATTGCCCTATTCTTTTTATATATTTTTTGTCAGTTTTGAGCATCACCTGTTCTGATTCTTACTTGAAAGCATCTCTGCTTTATTAAGAAGGCACACTGCTGCGTTTTACAAGTTAGAAGAAAAAGCATTAGGTTGTTTTTCTAATTCTAAACATGTTGACACTGTACAATGAAATCAAGTGCCATTATAATCCATCCCGAGCTCTTACTTTTTTACAAATTCATTATCTATTTTTCTAGCTCTGAAATAGTTGCAACTCGAAGCATACGGAAATGATGTGCAAAGTATACTATAGATAAAATTGAGAAATTATCCCAAAAGGGAAGCCTAGAAAGTTACTTTCAAGCATCTCACTACTGACCTTTTAAATAACACATAAAATAGAGGTAGAAATTACAGTGTCTTTCTCAAACCCCATTTCAGGGGGAAAAGATCTGGCAAGGTCCATTTTCTTCTCCAGTTTGTATGGCCTGCCTTCCATATCTTTTCCTTTTGGGTAGCCTAAGAGGGAATTGGGTAAATTCAGTAGGTGTTCAAACATGACTGCTGTCTTCAGTCTCCTAGGGCGAGTCCTGTGACTCTAGGTACAAAAGTTCTGTAAATGACAAAAGGAAATGAGAAGGAAAGCTCTGTGCTTCACTGACTGCTACAATAAATGGGTTTTTTGAGTTTTCTGCAGCACCTCCCCTTGTAGTGTCACCTTGTGGTGCTGATGTCCCAGACTGTGCCCCCCTGGCACATACACAGGGCTTATTTTGCTCAGAGTTGTTTCACTACACTTGATGTTTTACTTTACTATATGTAGTTTGCCACTACAGAAGCACCCAGAGCAGGCATGTTTGACTAAACCAGCGTGCTGCATTTGCTTCTACTACCTGGCAGTACCTTCTGCTTCTGCTTACAGAGCCTAAGATTGTCTGTGTCTTTCCACACAAAGGTAACTGGGCAACAGAGCTGTAACTGGAAGCTGAATTTGGCTCACTGCATATAGTTAGGGATAGAGAAACTTAGAAAGAAGCACATGGGCCAAAGGCATGGGAAGGTAGAATGGGGGAATGTTTTACCTCATTGGCCTGAGCCTTCAGGACACAGCCCCAGGATCTACAGTGTCTGCTGAAGTTGCTCTGGAGAGAGGTTCTGCTTGGAGGAATAGGTTGTGGAGTGGCAGAAAATACTGCTCACTTTTCATTATCTGTAACTTTTCAGGAATGGGATTTGGAGACAGAACAAGCACATTCTGTGGCACACCGGAATTTCTGGCTCCTGAGGTGCTGACAGAAACTTCCTATACAAGAGCTGTAGACTGGTGGGGTCTTGGTGTTCTTATCTATGAGATGCTAGTGGGTGAGGTAAGTTCTAGTAAGGTACAGTGGAGTCATAAAACTAAGAACTGTTTAAAAGGTTACAAAACTCAAGATATCAGCCTGTCAACATTGAATATGCCCTGCATTTTTGTTTTATTTTTAATTACATCATTATGTCTTAAATCAAATTACAGTAATGGCACATAACCATCCGTGTCTCTAAGCAAGAACGTAGTACATCTATGCATCTAGTTTTGGGGACCTCAGTTTCCAGGACATACCTGTTATCATCAAATTTGGATGTGTACAGTGGTACTGCTTTCAAATGCTTTTGGGAAAAATAAACTTCTTCACTTCCATTCAAGGTACAGGAGTTAACTTTAACACATAAAACTGGATAGCAGTGAAAGATTGTGCCAAACACACTAAAATAGGAAGTCCCAGTTCCACATAAATAGGCTGGTATGAATAAATCACTGTTGAGAAGTTATTTACCATTGCAGATACTGCTCTACCTTCTGGTCCGTTATGTTACAGTATTTCCCAGATGGCACAGTGAGAGCTCACGTGCTAAAAACTGGAGAAAAACTCATCATTTTGTTCTCTTTCAAAAAATATGACCATTCAACTTACTTTCACTTCCTTTCAGGTAAAAAAAGGACACAAAGCTTGTACAGCGTCACCTACATCTGTCTGGCCACTTCAAAATAGTTTGAAAACCCTTGAGCTGTAACATGTCAAAGATATTACAAAAACAAATTGGTCTTGATCATGCTACTTGTGAATGGCAGCTTTCCCAAAGAAGAGCTGATACTTTCCACATTCCCCATACACCCTGTGTCAGACTTCAAAAAAGACCACGGTTTTAGGTGTTCCTACTTCTAAAAGCACATTTTTAAAGCACAGTCCTTCAGTAAGAATCAAGGGATAATACCAAGTTGCCTTTTCTCTCTTCCTTATGGAAAGCTATATCTCTGTTTCTGGGAAGGAAAACTTCATTTCAGGGTGTCTAATTCCAAGCATTCAGCTGAGTATATGTTGTTTTCAATTATAAGTGATTTCTAAGCCTGTTTATAGCAATTTTTTTTATTAATTTCATTATAGTCTCCCTTCCCTGGAGATGATGAAGAAGAGGTGTTTGACAGCATTGTAAATGATGAAGTAAGATATCCACGATTTCTGTCTACAGAAGCCATCTCGATAATGAGACGGGTAAGAACATAATCATAATATTATAGTATCCCCCTCTTGTCCTGTTTTCTCTCCAACAATTACATTTATGAGGAACAAAATACTTAAGAAACCTTTGCTTGGTATATTTTTTTCTGCAATTAAATTTCAGACTTCCTTCATTTATACTGTGCCATGCTGCCTTATCACCTTAAATGAAAATTGTTGATGCCATTCCACTTTATTCAGGAGCATTTTTTTCTTTTTAATATGTAAAACACTTAAGGCCTGATTTTTGTCCCTGAACTGTGTTTCCTAGTTGTATCTAACTGGAAAACTTCAGCTCTCTTTTCCTAGCAGAACACTACTGCATTGACCTATTTGGTAGATTAACATTGTCACATGCATATTTTAATTCAAAGACTTCTAAATCTTTTTGGTTTTATTCCAAGTGGGGCAGGGAACACCCTACACATGGCATCTGCAGTCCTATTCTTAGCAAGCAACAGCTGATTTTGTCTATGATTGTTATTAGTGCTGTTCTTAGTGCCATGCCTCTGCTTATCAAAAGGAGATGGTTGAACCTGTCTGAGTTAGAACCTTATCACAGCTGACAGAAAAGCAGCTACTGGAGGTAGTTCCAAAGCCTTTGGAATCGGCCTCTCCACTGAAATGTCTGATGCTGACTATCAGTCTAGCACCCAATTCAGCAGTGTGCTGCAGCACAGTAACTACCGTGCCATAAGTATTTAAGTAACAGCATAAATATTCTATAACTGAAAAGGGAGAGTGTGTTTGCCTAGAGAAAGAAGGCAGAATACAGTTTTAAGGCAGTACCTGGGGAAGGCATTTCTACTGTGAAAATTATGATGCCAATATTCACAGGGGGCAGGGTCTGCTACACTGCACCCACAATATGTGTACTGTGATCTTTGTGCTTGCACTTTACTAGTTGTGCTGTTTCCATCAGAGAATTTGTACATAACACAGTAGACATTATTTTTTGATGGCTACATCATGAATATCCACCCACCCTGCTGCTGGGCACTGCCTGGAACAGGGGACTGCTCTCAGCAGCACAATTCACAAGTGGGAGCATCAAACTCCTGGAGTTAACTAGAAAGCCTTTCCTTTGCCTGAGTGTGTGAAGCAGCATTGAACCCTCTCTTGGGTTCAATGCTGCTGTGAAATAGCTGAGCACTGGAGACAGCAGGGTAGTTTTCTTCTGAGCCCTGCAAGAACGACTGGCTTACGTAAATCTGCGCCATCAGCAGCAAAAAGCACATTCTGCCTATTCCCTGTGCTGAGCACTTGCCCCACACAGCCTCTGGTACCAAGACCTGGCAGCACAGGTCTGCAGGGAGGCAGAGGAGTCTGCTCTGTAGCTGTTCTGGCTCGGCTGTGGGTGGAACTGTGCTGGCAGGCTGAAAGAGCACCGCTGAAAGCTAAAGCTTTGTCCCTTTCTTTGAGGGCCAAGCATTTTCCATAGATCAGGTAGTATGAATTTCACTGTCCACCTAATCTTGGTGTTGGCTCTTACTTACTCATCCTCCCTCCTACCTCTCCCTTCCCCTGAATTTCTCTGCTGAAACTTTGCATGTTTTGCCAGCTGCTGCGTAGAAATCCAGAGCGGCGTCTTGGAGCTGGAGAGAAAGACGCTGAGGATGTGAAAAAGCATCACTTTTTCAGAGTGAGTACAAACTAACAGTATTTCTAAGGACATGAAGGAGTAGAGATGGGAAACTAAACATCAATTCCTTTATTTTACAGCAAATAGATTGGAATGCTTTACTGGCCAAGAAAGTGAAGCCTCCTTTTGTACCCACCATTAGAGGACGAGAAGACGTTAGTAATTTTGATGATGAATTTACCTCTGAAGCACCTATCCTCACTCCACCTCGGGAACCAAGGATACTTTCAGAAGAAGAGCAGGAAATGTTCAGAGATTTTGATTACATTGCTGATTGGTGTTAACTTCTAGACACTGTGAACCCCCAGCTGACTGGCTCACAAGAATGCCTCTCTCGGAAGAATACCGACCCTTCAATTGCTCTCTGTGCCACCTGTAGCTTCTGGGTTTTTTTTAAATCACATGAAGATCCTTTTAAGTACTGTTTTAACACTCTTGTGAAGAGTGGCCTCTTTGTATATTGTTTTTTTATCTGAGCACTGGAAAGCAGGTCTATGGCGTTCATAAGCTGAGTTGGTGAACCCCGGCTGTATTGAGCTTCTCGCACATGGGCACACGTGGATCTTACAGTCTCTCTGGCTCTTCCACAGCAGATAACATCACTTCTTAAAGTATCTGCGTAAGTGGGAAAAGCAGACTTTGAGCTACGTAATCTCCACTCAGCCACATTGGAGTAAGTTGGGATACTGGTGACACTCACACAGAACACGGTTCTAGTCTGAGAAGGCAAATGATTTCAGCTAAATATTGTGCAGTCTATAAAACTACACATTTCTATGTACACCTTCATCTTGTGTTCTTAAAATAATGGTATTGAGAACAGATATGCCTTGTTTTGTAAATTTTCTATGGTATTTATTAGGAAAAATGTTAAATGCCTTGCCTTTGAGATAACAACTGTGTAAGTGCTTCCATTACAAAGAAAAATCCAGAAAAATCCGGAAAGTTTACCAAAGTCACTTGCCAAACAGTTTTGCCTTCAAGCTTCTTAAGCACGGCTTAAGCCCCTGGTTGGTATGAGGAATGTAACAAGGACATTGCTCAGTGCAAGCCCAGAGCGAAGCGTCCGCGTGGCCCCAGCCCGGCCACTCCTGCATCGGCCTCCTGCCTTCCCCAGCCCCGAGGGGCAGAGGAGTCACCCAGTCCTTATCTAACCACCTCCATCATCCTCTGTCTGTCCTACGATGTCATTTAGAAAACATAAGGATTTTCAATGTATACATGTGAACATGTATATTTGGAAGTTGTAATGTATTCTTACCTTTAGGCAAGTAATTTAATTGTACCACTTCATCAATATTGCACGGTGGCAAAAAAACGTATCCATGTAGGCCACTGACCTCCAGCCCTTGAATTGGCAGTTACTGAGAGTAAAAAGCAATACCTTGTAACAGAATGTATAAATATTTTTGATAAAAACAGTGTATATTTTATAAACCCCTTAACACTAAAAGCTGTACCTCAAAAGTTGAAAAATAATTTTGACCAGACACTGTGTGTATTTGTAAACCAAGACCTACTTTTGGCATCTGCTGTTCTGGGGGCAAACATTAATTCTTGGAAAATAAATTTCCCACGTAGTCCTTATCTCTAGCACCATTCAGCACTAACCTCACGGGTTCATCAGGGCCAGGAGTTTGCTGTTCATGGTCTAAGGCAGTGAGAATCAGCACCCAAATTATTAAAGAACTGGTAATTTTATTAATTCAAAGAAGAAACACAAACCACTGGAGTGTGCAATGCCAAGGTGGTGGTTTAAAATCATGATGCTGGACAGACCTGCAGGGTCAGGCAGGGGAGAGGCTTAAGGGAGAAAAAAAAATAATGGTTAATAGGTCTAAATCAGGCAAGTCCCCCACAGGAAGGAGGGAGGCACCTTCCCCAGTGCTGCAAAGCATGTTGGGCAAAACGAGTCAACTCCTCAGCACTCATTGTTTCCAGGTTCTAATTAATAAGAAACAAATTATGTTCCTGTATCAGGCTGAAACCAATACTTTTGAGGTACAGTCAGCTCGCCCTTTTTTGGTTCCCAAAAATATATATATATATAAAAGCATCGAACAGGGTGCTTAACACTTATGAAAGTATCCTCAAACATACTTTTTTGTAACTACATCTTGTACAGAAATCTTTTTTTAATCTAAGCAAATCACTAAAAAAAAAAAATTAGAAAAAATTAGAGGGCAGGGTATGTTCACCCAGTTAAGATGGAAAAAAGCACTAATTTTATCTCTGTAGTTTTTTAAATATTTTTAGGCAGATTAAGATTTAAACCCTAGATTGTAAATATATTTTGCTATACTTTATCTGTATGTGGCTGCTCAAGCACTTTGTAAGGAAATTAGGATATTTTAGAATGGTACACTATGCATTAAAATGAAATGTGCCTTTAACAAATGTCATTCTAAGTGTTTTGCAGTCATTAATATCACAAATTAAAGTTCTAAATAGAGTAATTTGTAAATTGTGTCGCAAACATGATTTTGCTGTTTCTTGAAGTAGCTGGTCATGTTTTCTCCACAGGTAACTTCAGAAAAAAACTTACAATCAGGAGGGGACCCAAATCTCTTGGTAATAGTTCAGTGTGCTTCCATTCTTAAAAAAAAAAATCAAATTTACTAACTCCCTCTGACCATACCTTCTTTCTGAAGGAAGGTAGCCTCCTCTTGCTTGGAGCAGTCCTGAAGGCAGCAAAAGGCCACCTCAGTTGGAGTCTGGCCTGTTTGAATCAGCATTCTCCCCTTCACAGGCTTCTTCTGAGAGCTGTGACCCCCCTCCTGGGTGCTGCACCATTACAGTCTCTTTCCTCCCCACCCTTACACAGCAAGCTCTGTAAACAAGCCAAAACCTATACCCAGCCCACAAGGAGCTTTTTCTTTAGGCAGAGGATGAAGCTTTCTTTTCTGAGTGCATTTAGAACAGAAATCTTTACTCTTAAGAGCAAAGCGGAATTTCACGAGGCCATTGCCCAGAGACACTTCATACCTACCTAAGCAATCATTCCAGAAAGGGCTGGTTCCAAACCAACAGTTTCAAGTATCTAGTCTGAACTGGAGATGAATTAAAGTAGGAAGTGCTTGAAGATATTATGCCCTTGCACTTGTGTGGGGAATGCAACCCTCCAGCCCTCCTGCTTTCTCCCGGGCTGGCTGCTGAGCTGCCTCCCACAACTACAGCCAAGTGTTAGCAGAGACCCCAAAACGTGCCACCACCCCAAGTGCAGCCGGTGCCTGCAGCACTTCGGGCTCTGCTCTTCAGGCAGCCTTTGCTGCCCCTGCCCCTGGCTGACACAAGCAGGTCATGAGCTAAAACAGCCGCAAGCAGCAGCTACCAAAGGGGTCATAACTGCCTAAAAATTAATTCAGAGCTATACCCTTTTTTTGCTGAAATGCTTCACATAACTGCCGTCTACTGGGACCAGTAGTAACTGTTTTTCAGAATATACCTGCCCCTTCAAGCATATTCCTAGTTCTGCCTCTTAGGGCTGCAACAGTTACTGCCATCTCCACACCACAAGAGATACAGCAACTGCTTTCAGAACTGCAGGGTCAAGCCAGGATAGCGTATCCAGCCTCCATCTGCTGCACTTCAGAGCCTTGCACAGATGTGTTTAAATTCCTGTCCAGACAGCTTTAGCTGTATGCTACAATTTCAACTGCAAACACTCACCCCTCACGTGTCAAGTGCTCATGCATAGTGCCTGAAAGGATTTAAAATGTGAGCATTATGGGAAATGAAAGTTTCAGTCACTTTTAACCTTCATGTAGCAGATTTAACCCACTCATGCTGGAAAGCAACACTCAAAGCAACTTCCACCTTTGCACTTCCAAGCTGTAACACTACATTAAAGGTCAGGCCCTGCCCCTTCAAAGCATCTCTCCATCTCCCACAGAGGAGGCAGATGGAGTAGCTCAGAGCAAGACAGGGACTGCCCAGGTAATAGAAAATGTTGCAACAAAGTCAAGACAATACATCACACTTGAATACATGCCCTCCAAACTACCAAGCACACCACCTCCAACACCTGCACCCAAACCTTTCTGGCTGCAACCACCAGCTTCAGTGGTGTAACAGGACTGTACGACCTTTGTTATTTGTTTACAGAAAAAACGTTGAGCTGCCACATTTCAATTGTCTCTACTGGCAGAGGAGGATTAAAACTAAACCAGCAAGAAAACAGTGAGTGCTATTGACAATTACTGCCATAGTACTGGACACACAGCCTTCCCTCTGGACAGCTTTAGGACCAGGCATGCAGCAAGCTGACCCTCAGCTGTTCATTTGAGTGGTTAAACTGAATTTGCACCTGTGATACAAAATGAACTCAGGAACCAGAAGACTCCCAGTTAAGTGCATTTGTTGCTTTGCACACAAAGGGATACTGTCAGGAGGCATCTGGTCTTCAAAGCTCTTAGTCTAGGGAGGGCTAAACAACTTCAGGCCTTCCCTCAGCACCTGGCACATCATTTCAAACTGGACTGGCAGGTCAGAACATTCAACAGAAACACACTAGAAATGCTTGGGATTGTACAAAGGAAGGTAAAAGGCATCATGAAGTTACCAGGAATTGAACTAAAGAGAGTCCTCACGCTTCTCTTTAGTTGCTTTGTCATCACATCCAAGAAGAAAAGCAGAGACATCAGTGAAAATCACAGACACTGGGCCAAGGATGCCACTAAACCTTTTGCAACCAATTTGGAAATCTCCTGCAGCAGTTGTGCAAACCTTTAAACAGCTTGTCAGCTGCTTGCATTCTGGGTGCAGTCATCCATTCCCTACAGCTGCCTACAAATACTGGAACACACTAGAGATTAGAAGTTGTGCAGAAAGCAAGCATTTAAGCAGCCTTGTGACCAAGCCCGTGAGTATGGAGCTCACTCCACCATTCCATGGACTGCATTCCAGTTCTCAGCATGTACAACAGTACATGCATATCACATTGCAGTCATACCCACAAGATGGTAAGTGTTTTTGGAAAACAGTTTATTTGGGAATTACACAATATTTAAAATTTTCCAAAATACATCTTACTAGATCCCTACAAAAGAAATCTAAATAAGTACAACAATTTAATGAAATTAAATTTGTTGCAACAGTCATTAAATATTTTCTTCCACTAGTATATACATACAAAATGCCACAATGAGCTCGTTTACCCTTGGAATGTGTGCTGCGTTCCAGCAGTTACGCTCCATCTCCATATCCTCCAGTTCCACAACATGAAGACTCAATATTAACACTTTATACATCCTTTATTATAGGCAAAAATAAAGAGTTTGTTGGGTTTGGGGTTTTTTTAATAGAAGTTAACCCTCTGCAATTTCACAGCTGTGGTAGTTTGTCTACTGGGGTATCAAATTTGAAGTCTGCTGGGAAGAGATCTGGAGCTCGAGGATAGATCAGCCTGTATGACTGTCTAATTGTAACATCAGCCACACCAGCAATATCACCAATTTCTACAATAAAAAGCAGAGAAGTGATTAGTTTTTACTTTTGCCATTTATATTGAAGAAACCAGCAAGCATAATTTATCAAGAAGTGCTAGACACTTGCTTCATTTGTAACTCTCCCAAAAGCCTAGTAGAAATGGTTTTAACTGTGGAGATTAATACTTTGCATACATAAGTCTATCTTCTCACATACCAGAGTTCAACTTACCCATCAATCTTGGAATAACATCAGTTTCAAATTGTAGAGGGCCAAGAGTGTTAGAAACATCTACTGCAAACTCTACATACGATCAGCAATATTTCAATAAATTGTCATCAACAGCAGGATCTTCACTTTTGTGCTTTGATTAAATATAGGCAAAACAAGCAAAAAACAGCAAAAAAGCGATACCTTCAGCTAAACATGAACTACATTTACCTTAAAATGCACCGAGAAATAAGGCAAAGGCACAGAGCACTGTAACGAGCTGAGAGAACGCTTGAGATGCACAGAAACTTAAATTTATCCAAGATTTAACCACATTAGGAATTTAAGCCTTGGACTGCATGAAAGCCTTCCTCACTGTCTGAGGACACTGGAGGAGTACAGAGTCCTGGTGTATTTTAACCATCACTCCTAAGAGGTACAATCCAACAGCTCACTCCGAGCACGGATGACGGCACTGCACTGCCTGAGCTCTGCTTCACTCACATGCCCAGGAAGCTGCCAACATGATGAAAGCTCCAGGGACATCAGCAATTATGAATGCAGAACAAAACACCACAACTGGACAGATAAAGGCTATTCTTTACCTAAAAGCAACTCTCCACTAAGAAATTGCTACATTTTAAACATTTCTGATCTGAACTGGACAAGACAGTTCAATGGAGCTTCCCCAGCCAGCTGCCAGTACTTGGATCCACTCCTCACATCAAGTTCTAACCACTGCAGCCTTAGCTCTCTTCCTTCCCTAGGGCATTATCCTCATGTAGGTCTTATTCCCATGAGCCCTGGGGGCTGATCCATGCTGCTCTGAAGCTCAAGAACAGCCCTGAATTCCTTACTGGCTCCCCAAGGGCTCCCATACCAGCGGGGAGTCATGCCCAAGGCAATCTACAGCAAATCCTGCTGTCCCACTGCTTTCAGTCTACCACAGGCTCACAAGAAGTCAAGGAACATGTACTAATGTAGGTGATTCCCTGGCTCCTAGAATGATCGAAGACTCAATGTAATCCTAAGCCATAGTGCTACCTACAACTGCCTGCAAGTTGGTGTTTGGAGTATTTTAGAGCAGCAGGATGTACACAAGCAAATATTTGCATGGGTAGGCTTAAATTATGCTCCTTTGAATGCAGTGGTCCATAGCATTCAAAAATGCAACACTCCTAGTGCCAGATGAAAATGAACTCAGTTACAGTGAGCACAGGCAGTTACTCCATTTCAGGGACTGGGAGATCCTGGTTTGGTCCTTGCTGTATGCAGTCAGATGGCAGCTTATCACTACTTGCACACACCTCATCCAGGTTTCACAGCAACACTCAATATTCTTTCAAGAAGGAAAACATGGTCAACTAAAAGCAAAAAAGGCTGTTTTACCTTTTTGTGTCCTTTTCTCTGAAGAAGCTTGTGATGCCATGTAAATAGCTGCAGCTGCTACAGAGATAGGGCTTCTCCCAGGAACCAAATCTAATTCCACAGCTTTACGGGCAATGTGCGTTGCTGCCATTTGTACTTGTTTGGGAAGCCCCAGATTGGAACAGAATCGTGACATGAAGTCTCCAGTTGTAATCAAATCAACGCTGGTTTCAAGAGCTTTCAAAATAAGTTTAAAACACCGACCTATCTCCTTCTTTGAAATCCTGGACACTGCACATATTTCTAAAGAAAGAATAAAAATTAAACTTTAGGCTCGACAGCATTTGCTCCCCCAAAATAATCAAGTTTGATTCCCACTAAGAAGGCCACTGTCACTAAATAAGCTTTGAACATTTGTCAACTTCAGTCAACCACATTTATCGTAAGGAGCAAATTAAT